AAATGTCCCAAATTTTGCAGAATGTGGAATGGAGAAAATGTTGTATCAGTCAATATGCAGCTGCTGGAAATAAGTGAGAAGAAAGACCAGATAAAAGCAGAAGGGGACCCTGTGTGAATGAGATTTTTTTCTCTGTTGTGCTGCTCTTTCTAATGACTGACTTACAATGAGGGAGCACGTATGGGTTCAGAACTTCTAAAGGACACAACAACAACACACATGGCTGTTAAAGGACACACACTATAGTGGAAAGTCTTTGACCTTTCGAATCATTGTTGCCATCCCAGTTTGTTCCTTTCATGTACAAAACACCTGCTCTTCTCCTGGAGCGGACTAAGCAGATTAATCCATTCATTTCACCTGTTAAATCCACTTGAATCTACAAAATGAAGGCAAGATAAAAGGTTAGAGAGGGACTTAGGCGTCATTTGGAGCCCACGTGCAGGCACATTAGATAGTACTTAGCTTGGTTGTTGTCATTAGATCTTTTATGTTTTTATTGCGTTGTTGTTTGGCTGTAACTTTTTTGTATGCTGCTGTCTTGGCCAGTTCTCCCCTGTAAAATAGATTGTTGATCTCAACGGGACTTACCTGCTTAAATATGGGTTAAATAAATAAACAAATAAAGAAATAGAAGTAGTTGTGTGTATGTAGGGCTAGGTCTTCGTACTTATCTCAACTCAAATTTATTTATAAAGCACATTTAAAAACGACTCGCGTACACCAAAGTGTTGTATAGAGGTAATAAAATGTGTCAGGGAAAACCACATCAGGTGGACTTAAACACTAATGAATAAAAGTAAGCTTTGAGCCTGGACTTGAAAGAGTCAATGGTGGGGTGGATCTGATGTTAGGGGGATGCTGTTCTACAGTTTGGGGGCAGACACAGCAAAGATACGATCACACCTGAGCGAAAGTCTGGAGCGTGGGACAGCCAGGAGCCCCAGGTCAGCTGACCTGAGGGACCTGGATGTGGAATCGGGAGTTAGAAGGTGTGCGATGTAGGACGGGGTCAGACCATTAAGGGCTTTGTACACAAACAGGAGAACCTTCAAGTCAATTCGGTACTTGATAACTTTTAAGTATCGACCGAAATAACCTATTATCAAGTAGTATGGAGCTTCTCCAGTCAAACAATATTTGCATGTAATCCTTTTGTTTTTTTTCTACAGAAAAAAAGACTATTTGAATGTTTTTGCTTGCAGACAGTCACAATATATGTGATTAGTTCCCTATCACAACTACCTTACAGTCTGTGATGTGGTCATAGACGATACAAAATAGGAGGTGTGGTGAAGTCAAGCATGTTTTTTTTTTGATAGGATTGGCAGTTCAGCATGCCAAGACGCTACCAAAGCATTTGAAAGTATGGCTATACCACATACCTCTGGTGTCTGATGAAATAAATACATTAATTGCAGATATATATTTATCAAATTTAACACTTTAAAAATATATTTCTGTAAAAGCATTTGGATGAAGAGGAATGGTGACGTTTTACTTAACTAAATGCTTCCATTCACATGGGTATTGTAAAGTAGAAAAAGGTGCCAAATGGTGCCTATTGGTATTACTTTAAAGGTACTGGTATTGCGACTGGTATTGTAATTTTTTTTTGACCGATAACCAGCCCTATGTGTGTGTGTGTGTGTGTGTGTGTGTGTGTGTGTGTTAGTTCTTTGTTGCGTGGTGGGTCCAGATTCTGGCTAGGGCCCCATAAATCTTCGGGCCGACCCTGTTAATTGGCTGATGGAGGCTGCACACAGCAACAGATGGGTAGTTTAGTAGCCTGATATAACTCATTATTTACTACATCACTGGTTCTTAACCGGTGGGTCGCGGTCCAAAGGTGGGTTGTGGTTCCATTCTGAATGGACTGCAAGTGACTTCTTGACTTTTTAAAAAAACAAACTTTAAGTGTGGTCAATTTCCAGCACAGAGTATTTTATTTTGAATTGCTGTGTCCTGCTATAGAATGAGTGAATAATGGACAGCTACTTGGCAGAGACAGCAAACTAGCTGGATGACATGGCCAAACACAAGTATGACTAAGGGCAAATCTGGACCCTGTGGCTCGACCAGTTGGGAACCACTGTACTACATGTTACATACAATTCACAGACTTATACATGTGGTTAATGGTGACACTAAAACAGTCATTTGTTGGAGAGTGTCCATGTGTTGGACCTGTGATGGACACCTGACCTCTCTAGGGTATTTCCCCTTCATCAGCCCAGTGCCTGCTGTGGTAGCCCCACTGTGACGCTGGATATTCATAATTACAGTCACATGTACGGAAGTCATAAGCATGGAAACTTAATGAATTAGTGGTTGCTGCTGTCTTAAATTTATGGCAGGATTATTGGAAAATAAAGCAAAAAATAGATCTGAATATAGTATAGATAACATGAAATGATAACAGCAAACAGCCCAATAATATCCAAATATTGTTTTCTGTCATTTGTGTTATCCTTTGTCTTTTGTATTGTTGTGTTGTCTCAGATCAAGAATTATTTTGCCACTGTTCTGTATTAACTGTGTCTCACTGCGTCCGTGTAAGTGTACAGTGATCCTGAGTGTCAGAGCAAAACCTTTCCTCTGCTTTAAAATGTTTGCGTGGCACTGCTGAACTGACTCTACATTTGCATTTCTCTTTCGTGTCTGTGTTGGCAGGATTTAATCAGGTCTCACTATTGCAACACTCGTGTGCCTGTAAAGCTGGAGAAAAACTTATATTGTCAGAGAAGATGTGCATTGGATTAGCCCTGATTTTTAATATATCTTTAATCCCTGAGACTGCAGGAAGTCTCATGATTGTTACTCCCCAAAAAAACATACAGTGTTTTCTATAATCCAAATTATTCCAAAGCTCCATCTTATTCCAAGACTTCTCAGAAAATCTATTTGCAATTTATTTCTAAAAAACACAAAGACCATCTTCTGATGTGATTAAAGGACTGTGAGGGATGCTGTCTTCTCGCTATCATCAGGTTCTCCATTTGAGTGAACACTGTCACAGAACAGCCATATTACTCTCCGACAAGGAATCGACATTACAGGGGTTGTCAGGACAACCAGCCATGATTCACAGAGCCTCAGATAGGCCTCCACCTTGGGCTTGAAGCACTAGCCATGAGACTGAGCAGATGCTGTGCCAGTCAGCCAATCACAGGTGAGATAGAGGAAAAAGATGACATCATAGGCAAATTAGGGCAAATGCAGTGAGCATTTTGGTTGTCGTCTCCGCCTGCTTATAAAAGCCAAAGTCTCTTAAATAGTCCGAAAAAGGAAATCTGTGTGGCAGAAAAATGTCATCATTCAGTAAAATATATTTTTTGTTGTTTTAACATTTTGGTATAGTTTGCAAATGTGGAAACTGGCCCCATAGATTTTAGGGGTGGGATATAATATTACTGCGATTTTAGACATTTTGCGATTTGCTGAGTATTGCAATAACATAATTGTATGTATAAGTTCATAGGGAAACTAAATATGATTTTCCTCAGAATTTGAGGCCTGTTATGATGTCATAAAATAATCATTTCTCTGTTTGTGTTTTGTGAAATCATAAACACGTGAAGAAGTAAATAATTGGTACTGGGAGGAGTTTCTTAATTAAATATTTTAAAAAAAGGAAACTGCACATCTATTTTAATTTATTTTGACGACTAATAAAATTCTAAATAAAAAAATCCTTCTTACACAAAATGAAAGCATACTATGTCATTTCTTGCTGATAAATATGAAACTTTGTGTGTTGTTTGCATTTTAGAAATATTCAAAATGCAGATTTAAGCATTTTCAGCATTGGATTAGTTGTATACTGCTTTTAGTGCTCCTTCGTTTGTAGTAAATTATCATATTTTATTATATTTCTTTACTTTGTATTCTTCCATGTGGTCCATACATCGTGAAATTACTGTAAAACTTTAATTAAACGCCCAGTCCCTTTTAGCCCAGTGTAGCTACACATTTTGACAAATGAAGGCCTGTCTCAATTAGAACCCTGGTCTCGTTGCCAAGCATTTGTTTTATAGAAGATCTTTGGATATACGTAAACAATTTGATTGTATTTCCTATCTTTGCTGATTAACAGTTTTGTGTGAAAAGAATTAAAAGCCTGCCCTGTATATACGCCTGTCCCAAATATAGGCCTGTTGATTTCAGTGATTAAAGCAAATAATAGCCCGGGCTATTATTTGAAGTTTTACGGTAACTCATAGGAGCACCAGTGCATCATACAGTCTCTTAAAGGCTTTGTAAGTTTAACTTTTGTATGTAAAAACAACTTTGCAAAGTGTGCTCTTGTAAAATATTCAGTTGTGTCAAGTTTTACCGGCCTACCTGTTGTATTATCAATCAATCAAACTTTATTTATTTAGTACTTTTCATACAAACAGAATGCAACACAAAGTGCCCCCCACCACACACACTCACACACAGACACACACACATAAATTCAGAGACTGTAATGGTAAGGACTTAACAGTAACAGACTATTATGACAGTACTCATAAAAAACGGGAACTGAGGAAACACTATCATATGTGGGGAAAAACCAGAGGCAGGATAAAAACTCAGAATAAATAAGTAATAGATAATTTAAAATAAATAAATAAGTAACAAAATAGAAGAATATGCCAGTTAAAAAAAGAATAAAATAAATAAATACACAATAATTATAAATACCAAATAAAAAAATAAAATAAAATAAATATTAATAAAATAAAATAATTTAAAAAAAAACAGCTCAATTAAAAGCCATGCTAAAAATGTAGGTCTTGAGTTTGCTTTGAAAAATATCAACACAAAAATATTAAGAGTTTAGCCCTACAAAGAGCAGCTCATGAGTTGGACATACCCTCCCTCCCACCTGGCCTCCTCACTCTGCAGGTTTCCTCTGTTAACCATAAAACCAACCGCGTCTGCCCGTTGGCTGCCTCCTCCCCCAGAGCCGCTTCCAGCATTAATATTCAGCCTCTCAGCCAATCAGTGGAGCAGGGTGGATGACATCATGGGCTAGGGAACAGTGAGCAGCCAGTGAAGCATCCAGCCTGCCGAACAAGCTTGCTTTTAGGGTCAGGAACTGGTCTGACAAGAGAATGGCAATCCTGCCTTTAAACTGTCATTAGGACTGTACGGCTGACGATGAATCCAGCAGAGCTGCGGGCCCAAAGGCGAAACACTCAGCAAGAGAATGTGAAGACATATTTCAGGTAATTCCCTCTCTGTGTATGGCAATAGGGGATGTGGAGGGGGGGGAGGCAGAGGAGGGAGGAGAGGAGAGAGGAGAGGAGGAGGGGGAGGCTGTGCATATAGGGGTGCTTTGTAGCCTTTTTTGCCTCCTTCTTCCACTCTGCATTCTGCTCTGCTAAGAAGGCAGCTGTTTCATCAGCAGTGTGTCCGTGAGGGGCGAGATGGAAATGGATGCCTGCATCAGATGGGCTGGAGATGCATTTGTATGATCATATACCCCCCCTCTGCATCACATCATCTCTGTATGCACTCCCTTGTGCCTCGCAAATAGCATCTTTATTGATGGGGAGGTGTTAGAATCAATGGTGGTGTTTGTGCGGGGCCTTGTGAGTGTGAGTGTGTGTGTGTCAGTCCTAGAGAAATGCAGCAGCTGCAGTGGCAACACTGGAACAAAAAAGAAGCAATGCTATTTTGGGTCTGTAGACCCGAGGCTGACGGATGGATCAGAGCAGTATATGCTGGGGATGGTGGGGGGGTTGGAGAGGGGGTGATGGATGGTTAATATGCTGATGGATGCTCTTTTGTTATGTCTGCACTGCCTCACTTATGGCCTTTCTAGGGAGGGCTTCATTAGGAAAGATCTTTTGTTTCCATTTATGTCTTTTAATGATCACACACACACAGAAAGCAGAGACGTACCTCTGTCTCCAGGCTTCAACATGGATGTGTGTGTAGCAGTTTCATGGCGGCTGTATAGTGACAGGGAGATATACAACATCTGGTCACCTGACTTCATTGGGGAGCGGAGTGGGGGTGGGGGCCGGTCCTGTGAAAGCTGAGCTATTCTGCTTCTTCTTCCACAGCCATCAATGCTGGTGGTGGAGGAGGATGGAAGGAATGACTACAGTAGTGAATGTGTGTCTCCCCATCACCTCTCCTCTTTTAGATGGTGGTGGAGAGGGATGGAGAGATTCATCTCCCAGGGAGCGCAGTCATCCTCTGGTTGGTGAGAAGCAGGGCCTGATGGGGGACCTGTTGTCTGGCTGTCGCGTGAAAGAGGGATGTGAGGGAGTCATGTCAGTGATCGAGGGAGGGTGAGATGGTATTAGAGGGGAATTGGGGGATGGGATGCCGAAGGTGCTACTCTCTTTGAACATTGGCCTGTTGTATCGATATGATACATGCTCTTTCATTCATCACTAAGCTGTCTGTCCAGACACCATGAGTGCACTTCATCCTTCTCTTACTGTGTTCAACCAAGGGTTTATATTGTGTCCACTAGGGCTGCAAGAAAATATGAATACACTTGAGTATCACAATATTATTTTTTGTGATACCCTTAAAATGTTTACATGCAAAGATTCTTGGCAGTGGTTAGTTTTGTGCTGTGTTTAAACCCTCGTCCTCGAGATAGCAATGTTGTAATCCATCGTCAGCCATCTTCCACTCCAACGTAACAACATATCGCTAGCATAAACACGAAGAGCACAGACCTATGAAACTAGAGATGCTACAATACCATTTTTTCCTTCCAGGTACTGATACCTGAACTTGTTTGTCGGACGATACCGAGTACCGAGCCGATACTATTGCGTTTAAACTAATGATAAAACAACTGTAAAATACTATCCCTGTATGGATGGGCAATGATTGATATCGTTGTTGTATGGCATGGATCAGGTTAAAACCTTTGTAAAACACATACACATATATTAGATAAATTCCTGACGTTCTCAGTACGGCTAATGCTACACCATTTCCCGGAAAACAGTTCTTCTTTGGGGCTCTAAAACAGCAGTTGCCAGTGGCTGCAAATTTCATCTTGCTGTGTAGGCTACTGTTTTACTGTGGTGAAGAAGAATTGGAAACTTGCAGTTTTATCTTTAAAGTTTTTTGATAAATTGCATGGTATTGAACTGTTGCATAGACTTGCATACTGGTTGATACCTGATCCAGCATTTTAGGCAGTATAGGAGACATTTCAGATACTGCTATCGTTGTTGGAACAACTCTGTTTGAAACAGGCAGAGTCGAAAGGGTGCATTGCTAGCTCCAAAAATTTGATGTTTTAAAAATCGCAATATATCACCTTGAAGATTCTCAGCTATCCAGGTCATGGTAATCTTGAGTGCTATATCATAGGCAACTGGACTTGCTTGAGTTCCTTGAAGATGTTTCACCTCTCATCCAAGAGGCTTCTTCAGTTCGGCTATCTTCAGTTCTTGTATCGCAGTATTTCGCAAGATATTGAATTGTAACCTCTGTATTGTGATAGAGCACATATCACAAGATTCTTGCCAACACACAGCCCAATGTCCACTGTTATCTTTTTGGATAGTGTCCCTAACAACCACCACCACCATGCCCCCCCTCCTTTGTCCTTTTTCAGCTCAGTACCCTAACTTTAAGATCCAAACTGTGAATTCTGTCAGTGCATGTAATAGTTTGTGCCAGTACAGCACATTACACAGCACTGGTCTTGGCAGACAGGACACCAGGCCTACAGTGGTAATCTAATGCAGAAGGCAGAGAGACAAGCAGATCATCAGATCAGCGCATCGAGATGCTGCGATATACCATTAGAGTGTTTGGTATTTATACATCCTGTTGTTCTACTGAGACGTGAAACTGTTGCTGGGTAATTGGCCGCCGCTCTGGGTCTTGTGCTATGAAACAAGCGTTATATATTCATGACACCTTCATCTACACAGGTCTGTTACAGACAAATGGACAGTTAATAGCTGTGTGTGTTGTATGTCTACATGTTCGCCATCACTTTGAAGTGTCCATAAAGGCCTTTGTCTGGGTGTAGGTAACAGGCACCTCATGAAAATTTCATAATTGTGAAGAAAGCTCACAAAAACAGGCCAGTCAAAAGGTGGTGTCAGGTCTGATATACCCTGCATGTGTGCAAAGTAAAACTGCACCCTAAAGCATATGATTTATAGTGTAAACATGAGTTGTACAGGCAAAACTGGAGCTTATTTTGGCTTTGCTTTTTATGCAAATGTTTACACAACTGACCCTTGTGATAATTTTTCATAACCAAAAACAACATTATTTTTATTAAACATTTAATTTCTGTGAACAGTGTCTGCAGCGTTAGATAGAATTACCTTTAAAGACTGAAGGACTCCTTATATACTTATAGATGTTTCATTTTCCTTTGTTTTACATCCGTCCAGACCTACATGACCAAAATGAAATGGTTAATCTGCCACCACATATATATCTATATATAAGTATAGACTGTTCTGCGTCTTTATTTGACATGATCAGACAACAAATGATACAGTCAGAACTTTATTTAACTTTATATAAACATTTCTTTTCCTCAGTATATCTGCCTGTATGTCTCCATGGCATTAGTGTGCAGTTCTGGGCTTCCCCTTGTTTTCCATTGGCCAGTGTAACCCAACACACACAGCTTCTCTTACCTCACCTCAGCTAACAAAAGCAGTAGACACAGGACCTCATCTTGGCTCGTAGCCTGCTAACTGGGCTGCCTGAAATATGATAGTAGGACACACAGTACATACAAGTAGGCCTCCATCTGTTGAGGACTTAGTCTGGATGAGTTACGCCGCCATTGTCCGGCGCGGTTATCGTTTAGGACTCTTGTCGACAGTTGATAAATGTGTAGTGGCCTCATGCGGGGTGTTTGTGTGTGTGTTTAAGGGCACGGTTGTCCAAAGCGGAGCAGTAGTCTTGTGGTAGGTGTGTCAGAGCTACAGTCTGTGTGTTGTGGATTAGCATGTAGGATTGGAAGCCATCTGGCCATTTTGTCTCAGAAAGGGGAGGGGGAGTAAGTGAGAGAGATGGATGGAGAGAGACAGGGAGAGAGGAGAGACAGAGGAAACACTCACACACTGACACATTGACACAGCTCCCTCCGTAATCTCCCTACGTGATGTCTGTTGCTACTTAGAATAGGGTTGTGTGTGTGTGTGTGTGTGTGTGTGTGTGTGTGTGTGTGTGTGTTTATGTGTCCCCCAGTGCACTTTGTGACAGAGATAGTCCTTCTGTGACTTCTACTGTTTCTGATGTATCAAACGCAAATTGCAAAATGTGCCTTCAAGGTAGTCAGAGAAACGTCTTGGGAGGGTTCCAGAATGTAAGAGGTGTTGAAGCCTTTACAGTAAGATGATGCAATGGGTGAAGACGTTCCAGATGGATCGAGACTGCAGAGAAGAAAGGGATGAAATGTTGCAGAGGAGGAAACAGGTTCAGGGGGTTTAAGAGATTAACAAGTTTCGCTGGGTCAAGAGTTTGCGGAAAGTGGCAGAGGGGCGTCTGAACTTGAGCTTGTTTGAAGATGAAGAGGCTGCAGAATGTAAGAGGTTGGAAGCCGTCGAGTGAGGAGAGTTTTCAGAGAATGAAAATAGAGACCTAAAACTTGCTTCAAAAGGTGACGGTTTCTTCTGTTCCACGTTAAGAAGAATCTCTCTGATCGTTATAAACTCACATTTTTGGGTCTCATTCTGTTTTGTATGCACTGTATCTCCTGAGATGAGACCTTCATATATACTTAGCTATAATATCTATATAATACAGCCTTTAATATCAACTGGAGTTTAAAGGCAGCAAGCCTTGTGTTTGATTAGGATTCATCAATGACATTAAGGCACAGTTTTGGTGCAAAGTTAAAGCAAAGCTGTAGTCATGACCACATGATCCAAGCTTTGTAACTCTAGGAAGGGAAGGAATTACTCATCCGTCACAAACAAATAACACCTTTGAACCACACATCAGAGCGGTGTTGTCACATGTTTCTTTGTCTCCACACAAACTTACAAGGAATTCAGTTTCTTTTCTCAGCTGCATGGAGGTGCAACTGCTGTGTGTGGCGGCACGCTGCTTCTCAGCTTAATCACTTGTTGACATAAATATTAGTCCCACGGTAGTGTTTGTCTATGCAAAATCATAATGCAGCTATATGCGTTTGGCAGAGGAGACATGATCAAAATGAAGTGCATGTCTAGCTGTAGTAATGCCACAGCTGCTAGACTATGTGAAGTGT